TATGATATATACAAGTCCTTAATCATTTATTACTAAAATGATCAGCTCGTGGAGCTGTACAAATCCTGAAAGTTTCAGCCAATTCTGAGAAAGTCGATGTAAATGTGGTACGTTTCCCATGAATTTATCCATACCATTCTAGTGATAAAACAATATTCATGTAGCGCTAGCACTAAATGTCACCAGTGTTCTTCCTGGTAATATTCTCAAGATCTTAATGCATTACATGTGAATAATTGGATATCATGAATTGCGATGATTAAAAATCGATCACCATGGTTATATCTCCACACCACAACAGGGTTACTTTACTTCGGGAAAAGTTGCTTATAATCGACGATTATCCAATGCTTTTTCTGTATTAGTGTTATAGACTTCGCCTTCAAAATATGTTTTTTACTTTTCTTTCTGTTTCCTGAATATGATATCTTTCTTTCTTCGATCGTATATCATTATCTCTTCTCTTGTGCTTGCCTTTTCGTTATGTACCTACGTAGTTATTATATGTGTGCGCGAGAGAGTCTGACGTCGTATGCATGTGTCATTGAAATAAAAGAAAAGAGGTTGAATAGATCAAACCTATAACAATGGAGTTGATACGGCAAGAGAACGAGTTACAGCGACATACAGTATTTCACTCGTTTCTAGGGTATTCTGATTAAATAGTGTATCTATTATTTCTTGTAAGAAAAAAGTCTAGCATTTTTTTTTACAGATAACTGAATTTACATACCTTCTGTAAACAACTTGTTGCTTAATTTCTAATCCTTTGTTTTGTGTAACTGGCGTCATCGTTGTTGTTTCTGCTGGCATAATTGATTCATGATGTACAGGAGCAGGCCTTGTCATAACTGAAATCGACGAATTAACATCATTCTTGCTATTGTTCAATGATAAATATTCGTCGATCATTTCCATTAAATCTTTTAACTTTTCTTTCTCCAATGGTTGAGTCTGACGAAATCGAACATATTTTAGCAAACATGTATGAATAGCTAAACAGAAAAAAAGAATAAATAGTTTAGATTTTTTGAAGTTCAATCATGTTGAAAATGCTTTCACCTAACCAGCCTGGCGGTTTATCATTTTGAATAAACACTGGTATAATCTGTTTCTTCAAATGATCATTTGCATAGACAAATTCCTGTTGACATGATTTGCTTTCATAGTACTTGTTTGATAGAAGACACAGAATGACACCCGCTTCTTGCATACCATCAGCTATTTTACCCCATAAATAACCGGTTTTACAACATTGATGATCAATCCAAATATCAAATTCATCGTTCCTCTTATTTAACTCATTGTAAAGTTGCATGCAGACCTCATTGTCTCCATGTGAGTAACTAATCATAATTGATGGTTTAGGAGTACTTGAACTATTCATTGATGACGATCTGAGAGAGAGCGATAGAGCTCGACGTCGTTTGACTCCACATCGCTCTGATTTTTGAGTTTCAGATTGTTGTTGTTCTTGTTGTTCAACAATATTACACAAAATACCGTTGGCTGCTTTTTGCATATTTTCAATGTATGTGGGAACGTAGTGTATAGATGTTGTGATAATCATTTTGTTGTCTTTTCCACTAGCAATCTGTTTTATTAACTTCTTAAATTCTTCAAATTTTTTTTCATCTACATGCAATTCCTGTTTGTATTGAGGTCGTAGTGAAACACTCCAAAAAATATTGCATAATGCTGTCACTGTTGTCAATTTGAGTGGATCATCATGTTTGACTGTAGCATAATATTTAAAGAAAAAATCAAGTAGAAATTCTAACGTTGTTGTTGTTTCTAGTTGTTTAATTTCCGCATGTTGCATTATATAATCAAGAGTACGATCATAACTAAACAATTTTACCAAAACAACTAATGGTTCACTCACATGAAATCTATGTTGGTATCGATAATCTTGTTCCCCAGCAGCCAAAACAAGATTATCAAAGATACCATCCAAAGCTATATTCATCTGTTTACGATCGTTTTTTATTTGTTCAGGGGTTGACAGTAAAGCCAGTGTCATACACAAAATTTCAACTGTTTCTCGAAAATAAGAATCGCTCTTTTTGACTGTTATTTGAATTTCTTTCAATACCGACATAAGATCAAGCGCATTTAATACCTGTATTCCATCTTCATGACGACTAATATTGTACAGAATTGTGATTAATGGTCTGAAAGCTTTACATTTGTACTCGAGGACCTAAATAGTGTGACAAAATAGGCAAATGTGGAATTTATATCTGTATTATATAACTAATCACTTACTTTCGATTCTTTGTTATCTCGGCCACGATAGCTGAAAAATCAAAAAAATGTAATGGAGACTGTTTCAGGTTCAAATTCGATCGTTTTTAGAGTTCATTTCTCTAAGAACATCTATATATTGTAGTGATTCTTCTGTATGAGGTTGAGCTATTAGAAAATAATTAGTTTTGACCATGATAGAGTTTATCAAGTTGTACTCGGATCATGCTCCTAGACAGATCGACTCTGAAAAACGGTTGAATCTGGACCTAACACAACCTAGATAATAATGTAAATATTCTAGACAATTATCAGTCGGAGCATAGTCAATATAAACAACTGAACAGACTATAGATAATCGCAATTAATTCATCTAAAAATCTATTTAGAGAGTTTGTTTGAATTCCTATGGTAATATAAATCCTACTTGTGACACGTTACAGATATTATCTGAGACTTAAAAAATTTTTTGAGATGCAAAATTCCTAGAGAGTCCCTAAATAATTTGAAATCCCAAGGAAGTCATCAAACACTACCTCGAGGCTTTATGAGGAAGTGCAGGAATTCATCCATCGTTTTGCTTTGTGTCTATCGAAGTATATAAGAAAATTACGATTCAACAAAAAACACTGTTTTTAAGATCAATTTTTTCTAAGTGGTAAATATCATTTACACTTCTGTCTGAATTCTTTCAGAGATAGTTAATCGTTTTGACATGAGTTCATATTTGATTTGAGCGACTTGTTCTCTGAGACGAGGCCTACTAAACAACTTAGATGGAAGACTTTGAAAAACTGGTAAATGCTTTTGTATAAAGTGAATTTTTGTTGACAAAAACTTAACAACAAAGCGATATTACTGTGACAACGAGTACAGTAGTCCATTTTAGAGTCTATCAGTTCTTTAGGAACTCTTGATAAATTACTACATTTCTCGGTGATTTTTTTCACGGAAAGTGGACTAGGCGATAAAAGTTTGACTTTCAAGATTAGGCATGCGGCCAGCCTAATAGTATAACTTGAAACACATTGATCTAAAACATGTTTTCGGAAAAATTTTCATACTAAACCAACATGTTTTACCTTGTTGCACCATGAGACCAATTTGTGGATGTTGTACAAGAATATCTCATGATACAACTCGGAAAACTATTATCTTTATAGTTAGAAATCGAAAGTTTTTTTTTCTAAAACATAAAGCTGTCAAACAGCAACCATCAAATTTCGTTTGTCGCATGCCTATTCGAGAATGCCTATTATCTATGCTACAAAGCGCTTTTAAAGTTCGCCAACACTTCAACATGATCAATAATATCTCTCTCATTCATGATAGATAATTAGAGTTAATCTACAGCATACTCGTGTATGATTTCAATCATATGCATAACATTTTCTGGAAAGCCAAGTTTGATCAAATTTGGCACCAATTCTGTCTTATCAGAGTATGTGATTAAAAAATCAAGAAGTAACACATTTGTTTTGGAACATTTTCGATACATATTAGAATTATAATATTGTTTTAGACAGCTCATCATTAACATTAAAATTTCGTTATAGACAATTAGTTGCTTTAAATCTTCAGCTGTAAACGATGAAGCACAGACAACAGAATTGAAAGCACCTTCAAGGATGCTACTAATGTTTGAGAGGACGCAATTTTCGTATAACAATTTCACAGCATCACTTATATCAGTATTCGATGTTAAATAGTTTTTAATGTGTTGTAAATTGAAGAAATCAAAACATCGAAAAGTAGTGATACTGAATTATCAGAAGATGACGATGAAGAACGANGAGATGATGTCTCTTCTTTTTTTTTTGCTATTTATGAAGGGCAAATTTAAAAACTGTACAAATGACTGTGAAAGTATCTGATTGATACCGATCAGCTTCGGTCGGGTATCAAATACAATTATTCAAATCCGGTTGCGAAAAGTCATAGTCGTACAGAACACTAGCATAAATTTTCTTAGGTTTTTTCTTAAAATAATGTCCTCAATGTATGGACAGAATATCACTGAAAACGGCTGGATCAATATACAGATTTAATAGTCATTAGCAAGTTTTGAAAGCTTTAACGAAAATAAGTATGTCTTACTAGAGATATTTATTTTTCTAGTCATGCTGCCGGAACCTACTTGCAGTCAGAGTTTCAAATCGAACGATGGCCGACAATTGAATATGTTCCCTCGTAAGTGTTCCATTGGCATTAACACAATCACAATAACAATTTTATAAGCATTTTTCAATCTTCGATTTCTATATGGATTCTAGCAAGGCTTTTAAATAATGAGTAATATATTTTCAAAAAAAACTCTATCTATTGAACAACAAAAAAATGTGTACCATTACTAGAGAATAAGAAGATTTAGCATTCAAAATAAATTCTTCTTGCCTATTTGTTGATCTTTATAATATATTAAATAACAGAAAATATTAGATTATTCACTTTATTTTACAGTAAAAACTCATTAATACAAAAATAAACTCAAGTATTGTTTAATAAAAATTAAATATTATTTTCTCGAATCGCTAGATTCTTTTTTTCTAAATAAATATATAGTAACAGAATTCCTATATATAAAATATAAGCTAAGTGTTAGTAAAGTCTATTCCATGTGTTTTTTAAAGATGATCAAATTGCATATTTTTCTGGTAGCAGTTGTAAGAAATGGTTGCTTTTTTTCTTCTTCCACGCATAAAAAAAGACAATGTGATCCTAACAAAAAAAAAAAGTATATATAAATATATATACATACATGAAATAAGAATAATATTCATGATGGTGCAAACCTTTCTTAGAATCATTTCATTTTCTATTTGATTTGATACAAGATATATTTATGTTCTTATAGAAAAAGAATTTCTTTATATAGTTAAATAAAATAAGCTTGATTCAAAAGACTTATTTTGTGTGGCATGCATGTCTTTAAAAAAAAACGAGAACTAGTGTTGAATGTTTTGGTAATATATGCGAACACGCAAAGTCCTAGCATATCGCTTTGAAACAACGATGGTAGCCAAACTGCTTAGCAAGACAATGCGCACAGCTCTCTGGTTGGTTCGATGATTTCGCTTGTTCTCTTCTCTTTTGCTTGTCTCATTCTCATATTCTGCTTTTTACCGCTGTTCTCGTCCTTGCTTACTCTTCATGCGCTCACTGCAGCTAGTAGCGCTCTCGAATAGCAACAACGTTGACGTAAAGACAACAAAAGAGTAGTCGCCGTCACGTAAAGCGAGCTAGATGAGACTTATTTCTTTATCTATTTATTTCGATTTCAAAAGAAACAAAAAAAAAAGAGAATCGACAAAACTTTCGAAAAAAATCCTTCATATATATATATATACTAGATATTCATTTCTAATATACGTAAAACGTGAGAAACAGAGGAATAAGAATATTAAAGGTGCATTATCTAACTCGTATTGCTTCATGTGTTCGCTTTCCTTTTTTTTTTTTTTTGTTCGTTCTTCTTTTTTTTTCTCTTTTATAACTTGGAATACAGCAAGAGAAAGTCAGAGAAAAAGACAGACTGATCGCAATTGACATGGAGACATCTCTTAACATACAAGTCAAAGAATTACTGCATTGTTATAAGATTTTATTTGTAAATGGCTAGTTTTTCTTCATAAATAAAAGATTTATAATTTAAAAAAAGATCAGGAATAAACTATCATCTATTTATTGTTCTTTCGTTACTTAAAGCAGCTGAACTGAATGGAAGCATCAAATATGCATTGACTTCTTCGGTACATTTACACATTAAGATAAGAGAGAACTATCGATGTCCGTAGTACATAGCACGTGATTTGCCTTCCTGTTTCTTGTTCTCTTATCTTCAATACCCGATTCTCATTTTTGCCATATCCAATGTGTGCAGGAGCGCGTCACTTCTCGTATAACCATCGATTACTTACAGTTTTTTTTTTTATTCAAGAGAGAAACGAGAGTATGACATTCTTGTTTTGATCTAAATTATTTAATACAGTATATTATTCGCTATCAAATTTTTTGTATTTTATTGTATTTTTATAGCGAATCTAATATATGAAGATTTCTATTACAAAGAGCGGATATGTATAAAGATTGATACAATGAATGGAACATCCTCAACAGAGACCATCATGAAAAATAATTAACTTTGCGAAAACTATAGTTAATCTCTAGAGAATCTTTTTTACAACTTGATCATTTGATTCAAAATAAAACAGAATTTAAGAAAAGTTATCTTTCTCAATTTTCGATATATTCCACAATATTGACAAGAGCAACAACAACAAGGCAGTTGTGTCTCAGCAAGATGCATCCTCATCGTTATCATATATTTCTTTTGCTTGTTGTTGAAACAGAAAAGAGCAAATGCGTGCATTGACATGACGAATATAGAGAACATCATCGAAGGTATATATATATTAAAATAAAATAAAAAACAAAAAGGCATGCCCACTGTTTCTCTTTTCCATTATTCCATTCAACAGTTGAATAATCAACAAAGGAAAACATTTTCCATCCTATTGAAATCTATTTAGCGTATCTATGTTAAGATCGAGACTGACAAAAAAAAAAAGAATGTACACGTGTATCGTGTTGTGCTTTCTTATGATTCCTATTTATTAACAACCGAAAAAAACCTTTTTGCTTTTTCGTCGTGTCTCTCCCATTCTCTCCCTCCCTTTTGCTCGCTCGTTTGCCTCGGTGCGTATGTTTGTGTGTGTGTGTGTCCTCTCTTTTATTTTCTCTTGCAAGAAAGGAGAGAGAGAGAGAGACAGAGAACAA